TACCGTGATTTCTCTCCAGAAGCAGCGTTTTTGGTTTCTCCATCTCTTTTATTGATTGCTCCCCATCATTTATATCGAGTCAGCTCTTTCTTGTTCCGAGACAAATAGACTAGAAGATGAGGAGAGGAAGAGGCGCGGCAGAGAAGGAGGAGACCAAAAGAGATGTCATTGCTCTTGCGTCGGTGGTGATCGGGATGTTCTTAGGACACAAAAAATTTACAGGTTATTTTGTTAAGGGGAATGGCTACAGCGATAAGTAAGATATCAATTTTCGATTCACAAGATACGTTTAGAAGTTTTATGTCATTGCTGATTCACAAGATACGTTTAGAAGTTTTATGCCATTGCCTCTATTTGGATAAGTATTAGGATGATATATTTTTCTACGTCTGTATGCTGTGGATTGAGTCGAGTTTATGTTTTATGCCATAGTTTTGTGAACCCGGTGCTGCTGGTGTTGCTGTAGCTATTAATTCAGGTTCTGTAAGGACAAAACAGGATCTCTTACTCAGCTGCTAATGCCGTTATCCCATTTCAAGGAAAAATCTTGAAAATAAAGGAAAAAAGGTTAACATTTAATTAATAATGTTTTTATTAGTTTGCAATGAATTTACTTCTGCTCTATGTATTAATGTTTTCCCCAGTTCAGCTTATTGTTCTGGTATCCATGCATATTCCACTCATAGTGAACCTGCCCTATTTCCATGGCTTTCTCTTTCTTTACCTTAGATTTCCTCATTGTTGCTTGTCCCTCTGCGCCTTTTGCCCTTTTTTTGTGGTTATTATTTGGCTTTTTCGATGTTGCTCTGCTTTTTTACCCCTTTTTTCATTATGAAATCTTGTGCAATTCTACCTTTCGTCATTAAATACTTGCCGTTTGTCATCTTCTGTGGGAGTTGCATATTGCGTTTTCTTTTTCTGGTTGGGTTTCATGACTCCAGATTGTTTTTTCAGCTGACAGTATAGTTCTCTCTTCTTTGATAGTCTCCAGGCAGGACTCTACCTTCCTGCATGATGCCCCTATTTTTTTTTTTTTAGATTAACATGGGTGTCCGGGCCAGCTTGCGCGCAACACGACTAATCCTACGGGCCCTGAAGTTAACGACCATGTAAGCCTCCAGTGGCCATCATATGAGCAACCAAGGACTCGAACTTGAGACCACAGAGGGAGCAAACCCCTTAGTCCCAAGTCTTTACCACTTGGTCACCACCATGAAGCCCTATTGTTATGCTTGGATGTGCTGACCTCTCTTCAGCACTGTCTCTTTTCTTTCATCATGTTTAGACCATGCATTTTACAAACCCGTGGCACCCATGCTTCTGCTATTTTTAATGTCAGTATTTTTTTTTTTTTAGTTTATGAGTTTTGATCTTTGCCAACCAAATATAAACCTTTACTTTTTGTGATTTATGGAAGTCTCTGTGGAAGACACCTCCTATCTTATCTACCTCTTTTTTGGCTCTGCAAAGAATATCGAAGCTTGTATAAAGTTTGTTATGTTTATTAGCAGCCACTGTCACTACAATCCTTTGCCTTAATCTTTTCACAAGATGTACCAAATTTATGGATCTGCTCTTCCTTCTGTTGTTGTCTAAAACTGTTCGTGTTAACGCTAAGACCCCATATTTGTGCAGCTTTTATACTCCTTTCTTTGCCTTCCTAAGCTTAGTTATTTAAGATTGTCTTAATTTCACTTTTTGAATGTTTAAAACCATTTAATTAAGGACATACAATAGGAACGTGGGCACCCATCCAGCATGGACTAAAATACTATCATGGTTGTATGAGATGGTATGTCCACTGTTCCTTAAAAAAAAAAAAAAACCCTGGTCGTGTTGACGTTAGAGAGTTAGAAACAGGGGGAGGCGACCATGTCCAACCGTGAGGGGTCAAGGTATTCCCAATATTTGGATAATTTTACATTTTAGTCTTAAAATCTAAAAGTTTTAAATTGTATCGACTTCATATGTTTTGACTTTCAAAAATCAAAGTATTTTCTTCTTCGTCCCTCCCTCTCCTCCAATCCTAAATTTTTGAAAAATATTGAATTTAAAGATTACAAGCACTGAAACATTGGGATTTTTAAAATACAAATGATGCAATTATAAAGCATAAAGGGTATATTATTGATCAGCAAGCAAGTCTTATAAGACTTCAATACTATTGTTCAAGCCACTTTCTTCAGAGAAATTCCAAGTAAGTGGTCATCTCGTATACTTTTCTATCGATGAATGGATTGAATATTCCTCCTCCGTCCATACCAGAGGAATCTGCACCACTTTACTTTCTGACTTGTCACCCACGAGCACACCTCACGCCACCATCAAACGCTACATATTATTCTAATAAAAACTAAATGTCATAGAAAAATTATCACATAAGAAGAGATATTTTATTATAAATTATAATAGTAGTTTTTTTTGTTTTTTTATGAGCATAAATATTTTTTTTAGTTTTTTTTTCACAAGAATAATTAGATTTTTTTAATTTTCCAGTGCAAGCAAATAATACTTTTAACCTAAAAAAATAAAGATTTTCCTTTGCAAGTATTTTGGTATTTTTATATAAATATTTTATATATTTAAGAGGATGGTTTCACATTGTATTTTTTAATTAAAAAGTTATTAGAGTGTATTTCTTATGTCCTAATGAGTAGTCCGTATCTATGCCATTAAGAGACACATATGATATTTTTTAAAAATCAAAATTTTCCATTGATCATATCACTAGATTCTCAATTGTGCCCTTTTCTATAAAAAGTAGCGCGTATAAATATATCATGGTTGAATTCTTTATTGATAATCAATTGTTTAAGTTTTTTTTTTTCTCTCTCCTGATAGCAAAAATACGTTATTATCCTTTTTTTATTTGTTGTTTATTTGGATTTAATATGAGCTGTCAGACCTAATCATTTTGGGTCTGATAATCATTTTTTATGCTAAATCAAAGACGCATAGATCTAGCATGATTATTAGATCCAAGAAATATAGATCTGACTAGGTTACTAGACTTGTGTGCTTGAGGCTGCCAATATCAATTACCGTAGGTCTAACATGGTTGTTATTATTATTATTAGTATGATTATGATTATGATTATGATTATGATTATGATTATGATTATGATTATGATTATATTATTATTATTATTTATATATTATTACAACAATAACTACTACTATTACTACTATTATTTTTATTATTATTATTATTCAAATAAATTTGGGTCAGACTGTTTGTCAGACCCAAGTAAAATGGATTTAAAAATTATTTATAAATAATGAATTATCACAAAAATTTAATTTAACTTTTTAAATTTAAAAATTTAAATCATTTCTTCCTATTAAAATTGTTTATTTTTTATGTTTATAAATTTTATTATTCGTTCAATAGAAATTCAATCTTTTATTATTGTTGTTATTATTGTTTTTATGATTATTCAAGTAAATATGGGTAAGACAAGTTTACTAGAACCAAGCAATGTGAGTTTAAAAATTATTTATAAATCAAGTATAAAAAATTTATAAATAAAAAATTTTTACAAAAAACTAATTAGCATTTTAGATTTAAAAATTAAAATAATATTTACAACTCAAGCACTTAGATCTAGCATGGTTGCTAGACCCAAGTTTTATCATAATCAAGATCCATGAGAGGCTTGGATCTTATCTTTTACTAAAATCTTCTTTGAAACATAAATTTATGTAAATATTCAAACAAACATGATAAAAGTAAAAGAAAAAAAACTACATAAATTGTATAAGGAAACTAAACATATATAATCTAGTATTGTTAAAAAAATATAAAATAATATTTTGTTTTGTGAAAAATCACAAATGAGCACCCATTAAATAAATGTTTTTTTGCAATGAGTTTGAATAAAAACAAATAAAAAAAAGAAGATAAAATTTCCAATGAAGAAATAGCAAATTCATAAACATAAAAAATAAACTATTTCAATAGAAAAATATGGTTTAAATTTTTAGATCTAAAACATTATATTAAATTTTTGTAATGATTTGTTGTTTATAAATAATTTTTGAACTTATAATTTTATTTAAGATATTTCAAGGATAATTTAAATATTTTATTTTTAAATAATTTTTTTATTAGGCATGCTTTTAAACCCAAAGCTCTTGACTCTAGTATGACTGTTAGACTCCTGAGACTTAAAGCATTCTCTATGCTCGTAATATTTGTTTTTATATTTTGTTTTTTTTAAATAATATTAACTTGTTATGAAATACAAGCTAATATACTAATTTTTTTTTTATCAAATAAACTAGTCGGTCCCTCTACTATTTTGATTTTACTAATCCACAACCTCATCCATTTAATTTGTCATTGTGAGCATTGTACTTTATCATTGTTTTTCAATGCGGATCTTCTATTCATCTATAAGTTGATATTTTAGTTGGTATATAAATTATTTTTGTTTTAAAAGATAATCGATGCTAGTGTGATAATTGTTTTTGTGTGTGGACAAAATACAGAAAAAATAAATATATAAATAAAAAAATATTTTTTTTAGTTGAGCCAGGCCAAACAATAAATTGTTTGACCTTTCAAAAACAAATTTGCCAAAACAAAAATACATAATAATAAAAAAAAACAAAAACAGCATGAAAACATGACTGGCACAGGAGAGAAGAAAAGAAGAAATAATAACATGGTTTCTAAGAAATGAGAAAAAAAAAGAAAAGAAATTAAAAGAAAGAAAATAGAATGTTGGAGATACATTAAAACTTTGATTAGTGTACCTGCTATACCACTATAAAAATTTCATCCAGATGAATACAGCTATATCATGAAAGGCCACCATCAAAGTCAAGAGGTTATCTACATGCAATACCCAAAGATGATTGGGCTCGGCTCACATGATGACACGTGCCAGTCAAATTTCTCCCTCTCACCGCTTTAGTACTTCCACTTAAATCCATAATCTTTATAAGATTATCTAGTTCAGTCTCTGAAAATTGAATTAATGGAAGGAAAGGGAGAATGTTCTCTTGCCCAAGGGACTCCTCTTTTATCCCAAGCAAACTCGCTCAAAGTCACTACCAGACCCTCGACCACAAACCATGCCCATGCCCCATCTCAGCCACCCTATGACCTAATCCCATACAAATTCTACGAAGACAAGCGACTGGAACGCCCTTCGTTGCAACATTACAACATTCAAGCAAGTCAATGCGGTGCCCCCACTATCCTATACCTAGGGTGTTTTAAAAATTAAGGTAATATATAATATTTGTATTATTTAATTTCGTAAAAATTAAATAATATAGATATTATAAATAATAATTAATATTTTTTTTTAAATAAATAGATATTACAAGTCGGGTATGAACTACAATTTTTTACCGAGCAAGTATAAGTAACCTACTTTTGATATAAATAATATTTTTCCTTCTCTTTTTTATTTATTTTTATTTTTCCCTCCCTCGCATGCACAACCGACTCTGATTCTCTTAATCCCTTTCCGTTTAAATTCCAGTTCTCTTCCAAGATAATTTTCTGCTCTCGCCTACTCAGGTGCCTGTTTATATCTCAAAATCTCTCTCTCTCTCTTTTATTGCAGAGATTTGGAAAGATTGAAGAAGAGAGATTGAAATGCTTCAATGCAGCTGAAGAACACAGAAAAGGGTAATGCCTTTTCTGGTGAGAAGACAAAGACTGCCAGATCTCAAGGGAGGAAGTTCAAATAACTGTTGAACATGAAAGACCAAGGTGATCCACTTGTTGTTCTCTTTTTTCCTATTTATACTGTATACTCTGGATGCTATTTGATTTTAACTGATGCACGACATTAGGGAATTTGACATGGGCTTACTTACAACATCACGATTATGGTTTGGTTGAACAAATATTAGGTAAACTATTTTTTGACAAAGTTTCGTTCTTTATTTGACTGGATTTATTTGCGCTTTTTCTTTTTTCTTGATTTTTTTATATGACTTGATTGACGAGTGACTACAAAGTGAAAATGATCAATGATGGCATGCAAGTCTTGAATTTTTTTTTTCTTGATTTTTTTATAGGTCTTGGTGTCAATAAGAAGTTATATTTTCTTTTTCTTTTTCTTTTTTATGAATTGAACCTTTTATTTTATTTTCATTTTCGAAGTTGAGTATTAAGCAGATTTCTTGAGAAGAAACTTGTAGTTTTGCTTTTACTCTAAAGCAGAACGTGATTCCAATGGAATTGCATTGCTGTTCTTTTGTTTTTCTGTTCCAGGTTTGCTGCTTGTTGATTTACCTCAATGAAGATAAAGCTCACGGTTCTTTATAATTATGAATATAATCAGATTATTATATCTTCTTTTAATTTTTCTCCATGGGAACGTGGGAGGTTCTTGTCAAGGAGGTGTGTGGGAGATACGAGTTGAATTGCTAGATGCTTATCCTTACAAATCTCCATCAATTGTCTTTTTCAACGCGATCTGTCGCCCACATATCGATGAAATGAACCCAGACAACAAATGCAATACTCTTTTTTTTTTTTTTTTAAATTTAATACTCTTTTTTTTTAATCTACTTGCACGTTGGAGTGTTTACTATTTTCTGATTAAAGATTAAAAAAAAAATTCATTTAAGAACTTCACACGGAACTTAACTTCACGTGCAGCCATTTACTCTCATATGCTTTTTTGGTTATTTTTTCATTTTCTCCTGTAAATTACTAACTTAAACATCTATAAATTACTAACTTAAGCATTAAGCATTGGAAAGGTTCTTTATTCTAAACTTATTTTACAAGAAACATCAAGCCTATAGACAACATCCACATTCAAGCCTAGACAATTCAGCCTATGATGTTGTTATGGATTTAGATTTAAATGCACTATAAAAAATTATTATTCAATTCTATCATTTTTCATAAATAGTATTTTAGGTTTTTATGGGGACTTTTTTAATTAATATGTGTCTAATATGCAAAAAAACTCATGAATATTTAATTAACATTTATTAAAAATACTTTCTTAAAAATTAATACGCTTTTGATATAGTTTTATCACATTTATCAATAATTTTTTCTTTAGCCATATACAAAATATTGTGACACTATTTCAAGGTTTTATTTTAAATTTGGTTTTAAAATCATAATGGATTTTTGTTTAGAAAATAGTGATTGCAATTTATAAAAAATCCTAATATTTGATTGATTTTTATTTTTATGAGTTTTTATTTTTTTATTAATTAAAATATAATTTTAAAAAACACAATATATAGTCGGAAATTTTCAAGTTTAACCTAGTAAATCAGATTTAATGGTAACATCAAAGAATTTTCCTGGATATAATTTTTTACATTGAAGAAAATCAATCTTAGTTTCACCCTAGTTTCACCCATATCTATTGAGGGAAATAACCTAGTATTTACCATATCAACAAAAGGATCAACCTAATTAAATTGTTATATCCTTGAAAGTTTGGTGCATGGAAAATCCCAACCTCAAGTGTTAATGGACTGTTTTGATGCTGGTTTGAAAGTTGGGGGTTTGTTTTGTAGTTAACCTAAAGAAGCAGTATTTTCTTCTTCTTCTTCTTTTGGGTAAATAAAATAAGTGTACTGGTTGGCTCACCGTACATGTGCTAACTCATGTCTACATTTCAAGCAGGGATACGGTCCAGTTCGATTTAATTTGGATTTAAAATTTTAACCGATCAAAAAGATATACACTTATTTTTAATAAAATAATTTAGACTAAACTGAAAATCAATTCAAACTAAATAGGTCCGGCTCAATCAAAGTTTATTTTGATTAAAACCAAAAAACTTAATCTTTATTTTATGGGCTTATTTTTGGGTTTTAACAATTTCTTGTAATCTTTTTTTTTTGGGCTTTTTAATTTACATGCTTTTATTAGGCTTGTTAACAAATCTAGCCAACTCAATTACTAAATTAGAAATTGAGTTTAAACACTTGCAGTAGTCGTTTTCATTCGTCATCCAAACCCAGCTAGGCACTGTAACTTGTATCAGCATGCATGCATGATCAAATTTGCTTTGCTTTCATGACTCTTGTATTTTTTTTTTCTCTATGGGTTTACACAAAAACCTTCCTTTTGTTCCAATAAAAAAACCCATTAAAAAACTAATACAACAAATCTAATATGAACAAATCCCGATTAAAAGAGATTGAAGTAAAAAATCCAGCATAATTTGAAGAAAAAATTCCAGCAACAAAAGCAGCATTCATAAAAAGTCAGCAACAAATTCATACTAATCAAAGCTCTCTTGAAAGCTTCTTGGTTAGCATAACAACAACTGATAAATTAATTCTAGTAGCAATAGCCTAGCACCAGGACTATAATCGATACATTATTATGAAGATGGGTTAAACATAAATAAGTTTCAATAGGTTCAGAATTATTTTTTGTTTTTAAACATACTACTATATATTTCTAAGTTCAATTTTATTTTTCTTGGAATAATAGTTATTTCTCATCTTCACATATTATTAATTAATCATTCATGAAAGAGAACTTGGAATAATAAAAAGTTATATGTATAACTATTCCATTTCTTAAATTTTCTTCAATTAAACATTATCTTATAGTTAACATAAACTTATAAATTAATTTAAAGATATTAATTAGTTCCATGTTGATGTTTTGTGTGGCATATAATATTAGTTTAATTAATTTGTTGCATGTTTACTAAGGAATTCATGTCTTCTTGGTTCATAATTCAGATTCCAAAATCAAAACAATGAAACTATTCACTAATCGAAGACAACGAGGCACGTTCAAAGGGCTGACCGATCATTTAGTAATAACGATATCAGATGCGCAGAAAACCAGTGCAAGAGGACTGTTACAGTTGCTCAACATAGAAGTATAAGAAGTTCAAGCATAATTTTACTCGTAAAAAAAAAACGAAAACATCATAGTTTTATGGGGTTACTCCTGGACAGGTTTCCAAGCTGAAATAGCATGAAATATCTTTCCCTTCCATCCAAGAAGTACCCATTGTCCATCCTCATCAACGATAAAATCTTTATGATAATCGGGTTTAATGCTTTTCACTCTGTTTATGATACTTTGATGTAATGGGATCTGCCTAAATCCATTCCTCAAATTCCTCATCTGCCATTGCTTGTATGTCTCTGGCCTTTCAATCCTTCGTGTACCCTCACATGCTACCACATTTATAGCATCCCTTCCAATCATTTCTCTCTCGAATAGCAATCTTTCTTGATCTTCTCGAGGTGCATTGGCTTCGAGCATATCAAAATATGCGGAGTAATGGAACAATGCTTCGCGGAACCTTGTGACAAAGAAGGGAGCATTGTAAGAGCCATTACGCACTCCATGGAGGAATACATCAGGATTGATTGTCTTAATCAATTTAAGAACAGCATCCCTGGGGCTGTTGTACGCCATTGTGTCGTCAGGTAAGTTCTTGAATCGGTACATGCAGTTGACAACAATCACCTCATCTCGATCTCTATCGATCTTGAGATCCTCATATTGAATAGTTTCCCATTTCTGGGCTATGGCATTGTACTCAAACGGAACCTTCATTCTGTCAGCCAATCTTTGTAAACGACGGCCAGTCTCTTCAACCCTTTCTGCAGGCCGAAAACCTGGTTGGGGAAGCTCAATTCCCGTAATGCGAATCTTGGGAGGTCCACCAGGCCTTAATGAATGACGGTAGATAAAGCAAGGCCATTGAAATCCATAACTGATGCCAAAATCAATGATGTGCACGCTTGTTGCCTTAACTGCTACCCTCGCAATTGTTCGGTTTGCACACAAATTTGTCATCTTCCTGAAAGGACATATTGTAACATAAAGCTTATAAGCATTCAGGATGTCAACAGCTGTTGTCGAATTTTGTGTAATGGGTCCAGAGAGTAACATTCCAGTGCCGGCAAGGCGTTCCTCGAGGCCATTAGCGAAATAATGTGCCAATCTTTGATTTGCATCCCCGAAAGGAGAAGAATGTTGCCTAATCTGTTTTAATTTCGCACTTGCTGTCTTTTGATCACCTCTTCCTGCAGCTTCTGCACAAAGAATTAGCTGAGTCCACAGGTCTGTCTCTCTTTTATTAGCCAGTGTTCTCATGCGCATATGAGATGCTGTTAACTGCTCATTATGCAGAAACTTATTGTACGCTGCACTTCGTGAATTATCATACAGAGGACATGATATGTGTACTCCACTCTCGATACTGTGCAGAAAGTCATCATCAAGAAGCTCCAAGTGTGTGGACTCTGAGACCGAAGGTTGCTTCTTGCTCCTCCCTTCTTCTAAGTAGTCATTACGGTCACATTGATAATTTCCCCTTGTCTGTTTTGATGAGTAGTTCTTTCCATTTTTCTGGATTCTGTCTGCTACCTCCTCTTCCTCTGGCTGTGGAAGATCCGATGCCTTCCTCATTGAAGAAAATTTCACAGAATGACTATATGGAAGGAGCTTGTTAGCACTTCCCGTGACTCCATTTAACTGCCCAAAAGAATGCGTTTCTGCATGAACATACGGCACCACAAAGGCGCTTTCCGGAGAGTAAAACGACTGTAAAACAGATGATTGAACACTTGTAGTTGGAGTGTAATTCTCATCCGGGCTTTCATTGATTTGAGCCAAACAAGGAGCGCGGTGATCAGAAGAAGGTGGATGCTCTTCTCCGAGCACATCATAAAGAGACTTTTCAGCAGCTTGGAGAGCGAGACAGTCCTGTAACATACAGGTTTTATCTCCCAAATCATCTTCCATTAATATGTCATTTATGTACTTGAAAACAGCATGAGAGAAGTCATTCGTGTCATTGTTATATGCAGTATCTTCATCTGAGCTAGACCCTAAAGTAGGAGCTTGTAAAATGTTTGGAAAGGAAGGTGGTTCCATGGAATCAATCACCAGTATTACGGAGATGAGATGTGCTCAAATTCTTAATCGATTATCGAACAAGAAAGTGGAAAAGGTGGACTCAACTTCGTAGTTGTGTTTTTGTTTTCTAATTATTTTTTGAAGGGGGTTAGAAAGTAGAAAAGGTGACTCAAATGTTAATTTTTTTTTTAATAACTTTTAGCATTATATGACCAAGTCTGGTCTTCGACTTCACAGAGATTCTTAATTTTGTTTTGATATAATAATATTAAAAATAAATTATTAAAAAATATTATTTTAATATATTTTAAAAAATAATATCTTCTAACTATTCAAAATGACTGAAGCCGCCAGTCTCCAATTCCCCCCCGTCCTTTTCATTTTCTGTGATATCTGCGGTATGGCCCATGGTATCGGTTTGCTTTTTCATGATTCTTTTTCATCACTTACAGCCCTAGCCAATAGTAGGATGTTAACATGTTACTTTTTCTATATAATTAAAATGGGTGTACCTAAATTAATTATTAATTCATAAGTTTTCAATTTAATGATTATGAATCTTAATCTTAACAGTTATGGGATGACTTGAAGCAATAACTTTTAAAAAATAATTCTAGAATTTGTTAAATTATACTTATCCGTATTGTTAATATATTACTTTTTAAATTCATAAATTAATATTAATAAAAAATATTTTTTTATTAAAAATATTCTTATAAAAAAATTGTGAGCGTAATTAGTGGGACCATACAATAAATAAGTTAAATATAAATTAAACATGTTATAAATAAATACTAAAAAGATTTATAGTTTCAGTTAATTTTAGATATAATATATATGAAAATATTTCTTGGTTTGATTAAAGTTTTCAATTAATTTATGATTTCACTTAAAAAAATTTATTTTCTAGTTTTAATTTATTGAATATAATTCCAAATTAAATCTTTTGATCGAGTTGAAACTTCACCAAACAATTTTAGATGTATTTTTATATATTAGTGTAAAATTTTAGGTGAATTGTAGTTATAGACATTCTTCCAATATATGTCAAAATAAATTATAGAAATCTTATTATTATTTTTTTAATTTTTGAATTTTTTATTTGACAATGATTATTTTTGTACTAGAATGTGATAGTTTGTTTTTGAAATTTTCTAGTTCTACAAAGATATTTAAGAAGCTATAACATAATTTCCAAGTATGAAATGAATTCATTAATATTTCAAAGTTTTTTTCTTATAATTTTTTTTATTTATTCTAGCTATACAGAAAAAAAAAGTTGATAATATTTAATGATAAATTAGTTTCTAAGATTATTGGGCAAAATTGTAAGTTATAAATAAGACTTATATCATTTTCTTTACTTCTTCTTTTCTCACAACATCATAGTGACTTAATTTATGGGTTTTATTTTTATTATCTCAGTTATAACTCAAGGCTCGTCTGAATTTAATTTATATTTTGTTTTTAGTTAGAATACAAAACTTATTTGGATTAGAATTTGAGCTTAATAATAAAGATTTTTGATAAGTAGATCAATTCAACCTGATAAATCTATTAGGGTTAATTACTCAGAACATTTAAATATTTGTAAGTCTAAATTTCATAATCTTTGATAAATAATATTTTTAAAATTTTTAGTTTGACATGTGAAATTTTATTTTATTTTTTTAGTTATTTACTTTTTAAATGAATTGAATCTAACTTTTGAGACAAAATAGTATAATTTTTCTTTTAATCAAATACTGGAATTTTTTCACTTCTAATTGGTCATAAACAACCTATTATTATGATGATAAACACCGATTATTTTGTCACTTATTATATAATTTTGCAAAATCTGATACAAATCTTGGCGAAAAGTTGAGAGAAGAGTCTAGAACTACGTATGAAAGCAAGGAATTATAAATAATAATAATAATAATAACAACTCAGAAGATGTCATTATAAGTGCAACACCTGCAAAAATACCGGAAAACAAACAATGAAATTGGATTTCATTTCACTTTTCGTATAGACCAATGCTAGCAGAGATAGGAAGCAACAGATTTAGAGCTCTTTGGTGAGATGAAAAGCGTGGTTTTCTTTGCAGCAGCCGCACCGTATTTTTTTTAATTAATTTTTAAATATATTTAGATTGTTTTGATATATTCATATGAAAAATAAAAAGTAAAAAAACAAATATATATATATATATATATATTATGTTAATATATTTCAACAAAAAAAACTTCAAAAAGTAACATATAAGAGACAATGTATTATCATAGGGCTGTTTGTTTTTGTAGTTGCAACAGCATTACGTGATTTTTTATTTGAATTTTTTTTTATATATTTTTAGATATTTTAATATATTTTTAAATAAAAAAAACTTTAAAAAATAAACTCTACCACCTTTCCGATTACAACCTAAACCATGAAAATTAGTCTACTATTATTATTTGGATTCCCATACAAATGCAAATATTTTCAACTCTCAATGAACCAACTTTCTAAAGACATGACTGGCTTTTGGCATGGCCTCACTATCTAACCTAACTAGAGGTCAGACTGCAAACATTTGTTTAAAGCCTCCAAATTAGAAAATTAGCGTCAATGATTGTGTTTGTGAAATAATGGGCTGGCTGGCTGAGACAGGGACCCTCGATTCCAAATTAATATTAGCAAGATCAACAAGAATTGAAGACCATTTTCCTCGATTCAGATAGAATTATATGAAACCATAATGTCAGGTGAATTGTCTTGATAGCCAGATTCACCTCACCTTCCATGGAAGTTTCACCATGCGACTCTGGCCTATAAAATCTCACGTACATGGTTATGACAGGGGAGTTCTTGGAATATGTTCAAAGGTTTAACCATTTACTGACTTTGTACACTATTTTCAATGATAGAGACAAGCAGCCTCTTCAATGATAGCGATCTTGCAAAGAATATATTCAAATTGAATGAATCGTTTCCTGGCTACATAGGTACGAGATATTACAAAAATGAATACTTAATCACTTATATTCCTATCCACTCTTCCAGCTGGTTTAGTATTTTGCTGGATATTTTTATTTAAAATAAATTACTTATATATTTTTATTTTAATATTAATACATCAAAACAATTCAAAAATATAAAAAATAATAATTTAAAACTTAAAAAAAAATTAAATATATTCTATCAATAAAAACAAATACTGCCTTAATTTATGCAAGTACAGCAAAACCCAGTAGAAATTATCATATTAGTAATTATTTATAAAAGCAAACTTCATGGTTGACATAAATATCAAGCTAACACAAAAAAGGAGAGGTAATGAAAAATTTGATTATCATTATTTTATAAATTTTCAAATAAAATGTTTCAACTCTTATATAATTTTCATTTGATTGTATGTACTTGATTTTTTTTTCAATCAAGTGTCTGTATTATTATTAGTATTATTATATAAAAAACTTAATGTTTTTAAAAATAATAGTTTAGAAAAAAATGCTATAATGATATTATAGTTGATGATGCTCTAAAATTTAATATGCTTAAAAATATGGTTTTTGAATGTTTGGTTAATGGATAATCATATATTCATGTCAATAATTCATTCTTTAGAGCTTAAGAAGTAGATGATTGGTGGTAAAAGATCTAACACCTCTAAAATAATTTTTTTTTATGAGATTTAAGGACTATTGGATTACGAATTCAGTAATTTTAAGTAAAGAATTGTAATAAATAAGAAAATAAGCTGTAAATTCTAAGAATAGGAGTATTTGTTCATGTTTCAGTATGATAAATGCTTTGAGATTTAAAAGTATGAGTACTTAGAGAATAGAAATTATAAACCATTTATAGGATGTAGAGGGTATTTAGAGCCTAAGACCTTGTTGTTTTTGCTAAAGTGAAGGGAATAAAGAATCATTTCCTTTTAGTAAAATTAATAATAGATAAGTATCTCTTATATAATATTAATGATGATAGAAATATGGTAAGCTCTTATAAGATTTCTATACATCTAGGGATATAGAAAGATGAATATTGTTGACATTAATATTTTATGCTAAAAGTCATAAGAATAAACAAATGAAGCTTTATGGCCTAACATGGAGCCTATAATGATCATGAGACTTATACCCATTTGGGTTAGACATGATGCCAAGCACACGAGTGATGGGTTTGACAACTCGTCATACTCATGTCTGTTTAGACTCATAGCGAAGCTGAACTCGAGAATATTGGGTCCGACAACTCGTCAGACTCATACACGTTTAGGCTCAGTGCGTGGCTAAACTCATAGACATTAGTGTGTTTGATATTGTGGTAGCTATTGTGGTTGTGGTTTGAAAAAAGTTGTTTTTATAAAAAGTGATTTTGGTTGAGGTTAATTTAATATTTATATATATTTGGTTAAAACTGTGGTTAAAATTGAGGTTGAACAAAAAATAATTTAATATGTTTAGTTAATAACATTTTTAAAACTGAGGTTATAAAATAATTTCAAAAAATATATAGTAATATTAATGGTTTTTAATTTAAATATTATAGATTTAACTATTGTTATTATATTATGAAATAAATAATACTTTATATAAAATATTTTTTATTTTCATCATGTATGAAATATATATGACAAGGACTATAGTTTTTTTGGTTTCTTAAGCATAAAACAATATAAGGTAAAATATAATTAGGAACAAAATTGGAATTGCGATGAAATTTTGTAAATGCTACGTTATCAAGCAATCTCTGTCTAATTTACGTAGTATCATTGAATAATGTTAAACACTATTTTTTTTGAATAAAATACAATTAAAAAATTAAAAATAATTTTTTATTTTATTAGGTCAGACCCAGTTCAATGCACGTTGAGCTTTGGACCAGACTCGGTCCGGCCGGAACTGGTCCAATCGAAACAGTGTAGTATGTTACACTGTTCATGTTAATTGCACTATTCAGTGAACAATGCAATTAGCATGCACAGTACGTGAAAAATAGGAATTCATTGCTTTTCTTTCCTGTGTCTCGAACGAAAAAATAATATGGGACCCATTAACAGTAAATCTTGTTTTTTCCTTTACTAAATAGCTTAAATCTGTGGTTTAATTAAAACGCAACCGCAGCCGCGTAAACAAACAGCCTCTAGGTCTAACAACTCTCCAAACCCATATTCTTTTGTGTTCAGTGTGTGGCTAAACCCAAAAATATTGAGTCTGACAACTCGCTAAACTCATGTTTATTTAGGCTCAGCACATTACTGAACCTAAAAACTTTAGGTTTAATAGCTTGCTAAAATCATATTTGTTTGGGTTCAATTGAGTTTTGCAGCTCGCCAGACCTATGTCTATTTGGGCTCTGCTTTTAACCATGTCCAAGGGTGTTGAGCTTAGAAGCAAGCTAGACTCATGTCATTTGAGCCTGATATTCTTCTGAGCCTATAGATGTAAAGCCTCACCCATTAATATTGGGTTATCACCTTGTCTTTAGACCTTTCAAATAATAATTCGAGCTTAAAATTATTTTTTCAAAATATATTGATCCATTAATAGTGAATATGTAAAAGTTAGAAGAGATTCAAAATCCTCTGTTGGAACATGTAATGCTCTTAATGTTTTAAAAATTAATTAGACTTTGATGATAAAAAATGATTTGTATAATATTTACTTAATATGAAAATAATTTTATGTTAAATATTTAAATCTTAAGATAATTCATATAATTTTATAACATCAATGTTTTTGTAACTTCTCAAAAATAAATAAATAAACAACATCATTTGTATAAGAACATGTGCTAAGTTTTTCATTACCTAACACTACTAGGAATTTAGAAAATAAGAATAAAAATCAATAGATAATATTATGTACGTTGCTAATTTCTAATGAAAATAGCGATGAGGTATTTTCATCAGTAATTACTAATGAAAATAACAATTAATTATGTTATGGTAGTAATTTTTGATTTGTAAAAACAATAAAAAATGAATAAAAAAATCATCAAAACATTAACATGCCATGGCTTACTGAGATAATATTTCCATCGACAAATATAAATAAGTTATAACTGATAGTTCCCTCCCCTATTTTCTTCTTTTTTTTTCTTTTTGTAAATAAACCAACCAGCAACCCCCTATTCTCTCACAAATCCGATCACCCTAACAAAACAATTAATTTATGTCTATATTAGTACTGTCAACATCCATCATTGATTTTGTTTTTGTCAAGTATCAAAAAGTAAACATGGATACCTATTTTTTAAACCCATTTGTGTTTTAGGTTAATTAATTGAAATATTTTGTTGTATTTGTAGTTTTCCTGTATATTTAAATTTCTTATAGTTTTTTCCTAGAGAAATCTATTGTATTAATATATGTTTTATATGTTAGGTTTTGTTTGAGATTTGAGGGAAATTGAATTTGTTTGTCATTTAATAAAATTAAATTTGATTTTGTAACTTAGGTGTATTATAATTAAAGAAATGATGAGATATTTTAATAGGTACCAATCATATTTCATCAATTTTATTGTTAAGTTGAGGATTTTGAGAAATTAGATTTTTTATAAAATTGATAAAATTATTTATTGTGTAGCGATACATTTGTTATTGTAAGATTACTTTTTAATGAATATTGAAATTAATAAAACTTTTATACTCAATAAAATTGATAGTGTTTTGTTTTGTTGTGATTTTTGTTGTTTTTTGAAATTAACAACTACATAACTAAAAAAAATACTAAACTTCCAACCATATTTGTTTTCTACATATGATTCTATCATAAATATAGGTGGTTTTTCATCAGAAATTTACATAATGGTTTAAAAGTTTTAGACCTTTAAACAAATTGGAAGAGAGACCAAAACAAGTGTTTAAGAACGTATGATCAAAAGAAATTAAAAGAGAAGCAACATGCTAGAAATGTTGTAAATAATGATATTTAAAAATTTTTTCAAAATTTTTTTTTATCCAACATTAAAAATATATTATTTCTCATTTTAAATTAAAGTATTTAAATTAAAAAGGTTTTTTTATCCCACATTTAAAAAACACAACTTTCTTTTTGTAAACATAAAGTATATATCAATGGGATTCCAATCCCATATTAAAAAAATAAAATATTTTTCTATTATTTATATAGTAAAATTTGATATGGGTTAATAACTAACAAGAAAAAGGTGGTAAGCTCGTACGTATAAGGTTGGGCTGAGCAAGAGAAAAATCTTTGATAGCCCCCTCATGCGCAAGGCAACGCCTAAACTTTATGGACCTTTTGTATTCAATAATAATTTTTTTGTGACCCTTAAATTGAAAAAATTCAACTCTTGAAATTATTTTTCTAACAATCACCACAACATCTATATTTCTCCAACAACTTTTTTTATTATTAATTATTGCAACAACTACATTTTACAAAAAATCTATTAAACACTTTTTTATTTTACCATGTATTTCTTTTATTGGTTATTTTAAACTCTCAACTTATATATATATCTCCTCCATGAACATTTTGTAAAAGATAGCACACAACCATAAAATATTTATTCTATTTTTTTCTTTTCAAAACTTGTTGGGTTCTTTATTTTCTTTTACTTGTTATTTTTGCATACCTCATCTTATTGAGGAACTTATTCAATCTCGGGGGATAACTTTGTGGAGAAAATATCATTAAGTACAATGTTTGTACACACCTCGAGTTTACTGTTCTCTATTTTGTTTTGTTTTCTGCTCATTTTATTTACATGTTTCCATTAATCAACATAATTTTAACAAGAAGTACAAAATCTAAAGATTAACATTAAAAGAGAAGCAACATGCTAGAAACTGTGAGTAGATATTTCGATGAAGTTCTTGGGTCGGTGTGTTGGCTAGCAGTTGAAATAATTAAATTAGTAGATCTAGAATTTTCAATAATACTGAGAGAAATCACAATAAATCCAAAATATATTCCATATTTCAAAGTGATATTAAAGGTGTTTCATGACTTACTAATTAAGTAACAACAAAACAAATTATATCAACTATGTTTCAATTGATTGTTTTGTTAACTATTTTTTAGATATAGAATTGTATTGAAGCGATTGATGAAACACATGTTCGTGTTTATGTATAACAAGAAAATCAAATATCATTTATTGACAGAAAAGATGTACCAACACAAAATGTAATGGCATCATGTAGCTTTGACATACAATTTACATTTGTTTGGTCAGGATGAGAAGGTAGCGTACATGATACAAGGATTTTTCTTGAAACTATTGTTAATCCAAATATCAAATTTTCAAAGCCACCAGCAAGTACTTGAGTTTGATAATGTAAATGGTAATAAATTTCATTAATATTATCTTGTATTACGTGACTAGGAATAATTTACAGGAAAAAAAAATAATGTAGGGAAGTATTATGTTGTTTACTCTAATTATTCAAATGGATTTTTGGGCCCATATAGAGGAGAAAGATATCATCTTTCAGAATTTCATTATAAAGAGCATCCACAAAATAGAGAGAAGTTATTCAATCAGTTTCATTCTTCAATACGATGTGTATTAGAGCAAACTTTTAGAGGTTGGAAAGAATACGAAGAAATTTGCAAAACATGTCATTATTTCTGTATAAGACACAAGTTCAAATTATTATGGCGCCAATAGCTCTACATAACTATATAAGAAGAAATTTCAAATGGAAAATGATATTTACTTAGTTTAATCGTCATCTAAATTATGTTCCTTAAGATATTTTTATTAATATGGTTTTATATTCACAAATATATAGAGGAAACAAATGTTTAATAATGGATAATTTTCATTGTGGAATTGCATCAAGTTTGATAGGACAATAATTAAAGTTTCTATAATATCAGTTAGTCCTATTATATGTATTCTATGTTTAGTGTTATATGTTGAATAATTATATATCATTTTTGGTCATTTTAGGTGTAACAACAATTTAAACCATAATCTTGAACAAATATATATCTCATTACATACTTTTGAAACCAAACATAAATTTTAGCTTTAGCAATCATAATTAAAATTGATTTTTTCAAAATTAATTTTCTAAAACCACAACACAAGCTATTATAATTCAATCATATTCTATATTATAGGCCAGAAAATTTGATGGTGCGTTTCTCATCTCCGGATCTCTGATACAAGATACTTGTTGCTTAGCAATAAAGGTTTTCACTTTTTTTTCCAACTTAATCAGATGATTTTACAATATTAATGTGTAAAGATAAATTAAAGATAACACAATAAGACAATCTCGAAGCTTGTCAAAACGAAATTTTATTCTCATATGTAATATAGTGTCAATGAGCACATGTCTGAAATAGGTTAGCAACAGCTAGCGAGTTCGAACTCCAAATACAAAAAAGCCTCCTTAAGAGCAGAAAAATCCAAAGCTAGCTAGGCATGGATTAATTTCCTGGTTAGGCAGATTTCCAGCAGGAAATGGCAAATAGGACTCTGCCTTTCCATCCCTGAAGCATCCACTGGCCATCTTGATCCATCAGAAAATCCTTGTGATAACTTGACTTCTCTTGTTCTCTCACTTTTTCCATGATCTCTTCTTTCAGTGGGAGCTGCCTGAGCCCAGCCCTTACATTCCGAGCCTGCCACTGCTTATATTTCTCTGGCCTTTCGATTCTGTCACATCCTTCACATGCTATGACATTCAGGATTTCCTTTCCAAATACCTCTTGTTCAAACACCAACCTCTCTGGATCTTCACGGGCTGTAATGGCTTCGAGCATATCAAACAATGATGAGTAGTAGAAGAGGGCTTCCCGGAAACGCGAAACGAAGAAAGGAGAATTGTAAGCCCCGTTAACGATCCCATGAATGAAGACAGCTGGATTAATCCTCTTAATTAAGTTAAGAACAGCATTCCTATGACCGTTCAAGACTACTGTCTCATCAAGGAGGTGCCGAAACCTGTATAAACTGCTAACAACAGTTACTTCATCTCTGTCGATCTTGAGGTCCTCGAGTTGGACATTTTCCCATTTTTTTGATATCGCATTATACTCGAAAGGGACATTAAATTTATCACAATAACTTGCCAAGTAAAGTCCTATTTCTTCAATTGTTTCTGCTGACCTGTAACCAGTCTGGGGAAACTCTATTCCGGTGATGCGAAGCACCGGAGGACCACCAGGTCTCACTGAGAGATGCTGAATTAAGGAAGACCATGGGAAATCATAGAGAATACCGAAATTTATGATGTGCAGCCTTGCTGCATCTTCAGAAAGGTCCATGATAGTTTGCGTTGAGAAGAGATTCGACATGACCATGAAAGGGCTAGCTGAAATAAATCGTCTGCAAGCTTTTAATATGCATTCGGATGTCACCCTGTTAGCAGCAAGAATTGCATATACCTCACTTCCATTGCCAGCCATGCGAGCCTCTAGGGCATTAGAAAAACAATGGGCCATCCTCTGGGATCCATCGCCAAAAGGAGTAGAATGCTGCCTAATCTGTGTTAATAGTTCAATTGCACTCCCGTGATCGTTGCTTGCTACAGCTTCTGCACAGTGTATCAGAAGAGTCCTCGTATCAACCAATTCCCTGCAGCTAACGAGGTTCTTCCTGAAGAGCATTCCATAATTAGATCCTCTTGATTGTTCTTTTAGATAAGGTATCATACCTGGACTATTTTGAAATGTTTCATTAAGGTTCAACCAAACTGGCTTGTCATCTCCACCACTAGACGGAAACACCTCAGCAAACATTCCATATTGCTCAGCTGCTTCAGCATAAACTGAAGAGTGCTTATTTCTCCTCGTTTCGGACTTCTTCTCCACTTTGTAATGATTCTTTCTTTTCTTCAGCTCGCATGCCGGGTGATCCCAATAACTTTTCTCTTTAGTCGCCATGACTGGAGTCACTTTGTTGTTTTCAAAATCAAGAATCATTTCATTTGCCTGACGATGAAATTCCCAAGTCTCTTCTGTCCCTCCCTTAAACAACACATCCAATTGGCTCGCACCAAGGGCTACATTTACAGAAGAATCCACCTGCTCAGGGAAAGTTTGAAAAACGCTTTCAGGAAAAAATGGAGGTGAATTGACCTGCAAGCTCAACGGGACAGTGTAGTTAACAGACGGAGCTTCTCTATTGTGTATGAAGCTGGACACAACCATGTTGTCAGCTGTCTCGGAGCTGTTACAACCATAAATATTGCAACAGTGAGTACTAACAGTCTTTATAATTTGATTTGGATCGGATACTTCACTGTCTGACGAGGAACTTTTCTGATCAAGGATATCAGAAAAGGGTTTTTCAGCAGCCCGAAGAGAAAAGTCCCGTGCACTAAAGGTTTGTTCATTGGACTCTTCTTCCATAAGAATCTGGCTGATGCACTTCAAAACAGTATCAGCTGAAGGATCTTTAAGAACTGGATTCATGTTCAGAGATGGATTCAATTTCTTGGGAGTGTGAATTAGGAGGAACTATATATAGAAGGTCAGGAGTTGAGAAGGATGTCTTTAGGCAGTATTTAGATGCATGTAGCATACAAAGAGATCCGTTATATACTTCAATGTACTTTTTTATACTGAAATATACAAAACGAAGCAGGCAAGAAAAGGCAATAAAGAAAAAGTACTCTGATCACAACTTCATTCTCATGCACGAGGTCTGTTTTTGCTTCTTCACATAATGCTCCTTTGTATGCAGTTGAAGCTGTTGGAAGAAATGGCCCCCATCTGGTTAACTGAGATGGATAAATAGATTTATATGATTTATTAGTAAATATAAGTAACAAAAGCGTGCAACTTATACAGGCAACGGAGAATGGAAGATCGCTAAAAAGGCCGTTCTTTACCTGAATTTATGAGCAGCAGCTGAGTATCCGTGCAGCAACACGCTCTGCATGAATATGGAAAGATGAAAGAGATCGGGCTAGCCTAAACTTGATATTTGGTTTGTGAATAGTAAAAAAATAAAGCCAAAAGTAATAGCTTAACAGGAAGAAACCTAATACGATATCACAATCAATTAATGCACTTAGACAAGGAACATAACCTCTTTTTATAATGCTGGAATGGTACACAGCATATTGTTTTCTCTGCAATATAATGTCATTTCAGCAGTACAGTACAGTGGAGACAGTTTTTAGGTAACTTTTTCCTACCTGAACTTGGCATTGTGAAAGTTTGAACATCAATATCAGGATTTTCATAAATTTAGAAATAAACATAGATTATTAGACCAAAATCATTATTCTATGACGTATTCGTCGTTGAGCTTCACGCTATACAAGTGGAGTTGAGCAGATTTTTTTGACCCACAAGCCAGATGCCCCTCGTGTGGGATGTCCAAAGAATTATGCGAGTTAAGGAACAAGATTCATTGCAAAGCATGAGGAAACCAAATTCTGCGTTTTCCCACCTTTTACGGGACCTAGCTTGTTCTCGAAGGATTTGACCCTGGCTCGAAGCACTTCTGTCTTTTAACATCCCTTGAGTTTCAGGCCCATAACTGTGAATAGGAATAAATAATAAGAAACACATAACGGGCGACTTCACTTTGTTACCGATTCCAGATTATACTCTTATGAAACATAAATAACCTGTTTTTGATCGGATCAGAAATGTGTAGGGATGCTCTAGTCTTCCATAAATTGTATTATATGGGCCTAAAACCGGAAGCGAACTGGTGAGGAGTGTGGAAAAGTAATCTCCGTCAAAGCAGTCGCCCAATTCGTAGAGCATCTCTAGTTATATCGCTATATATATAAATATATTAGTTACCATTGAAGGAACAAGAATATTGCATCGAGCCGATCTTGCCCTGGGCACTCACTTCCATTTTTTCTGCACACCGGCTCACAAGTCAAAATTCACGGTACGTAGTCGCGTAGAGAGTCCTAGAAAGTAAGGGTTATGAAATTTCTTATGCATAATAACAATTAGTCGCAAAATGCCATTACTAAACCATTGCACTGTTGTAGAGTACTTAAATCATTGAGGTGAAGAAATTATGCCACAACTGCTTCAACTTCTCTTTGGGTAATTGATTTTTTTTAGGTTTATGGTAATTCAGACACGTAACTTCATTCATACATAAAATTCTTGAATTATGAACTGTAAATAATTTTATAAGTTGTGTTTTTTACGTTACATCGAAAAGATTTGAATCCGAAACCTGTTATGGAAAGACGACGCTAATGTCAGTTAAGCTACAGCTCATCAAGAACTATTTTGCAAGTTGAAAAAAATATATATAGAGAAATCAAGGCACGTAATATATATTAAATGACAAAACAAACCAGATAACACACGGCAAGCATATAATATATATAATCTTGACCCAGGACACAAACCGACTTGACGCAAGCAATTCGAAGCAACAAGTTTTCCCGTCATTTGAAATTGATGCAGCAGAAGATAATTAATTTTACGACAAGAACTGGTGGTGAAGTTGTCAAATATTCTACTGCATTCGGCTGCTTTCTGCGTATTCATAAATATTTGAGAGGTTGCCTTCTCTCCTGCATACCCGCCAGCAAACTTAAGAAAACAATTTAGGGTACACTGTTTTTTTGCCCCCGGATTTTTGAAAGTTGATCGATGCTTAGTATATATACTTGTAATTTGTTTCTATTTAAGTGGGTGTGTTTTTATTTTTTTATTTGATTATTCATATTTTTAATTATCCCAAGATATTAATTAGTAAGGATTTACATGGACTTATAATTATCTAACTACTTATTAAAATAAAAAAGGAACTCAAACTAATTTATGTAAGTTGGCAAGCAATTACACATGAAACAATCAAAGAGCATAATTTGTTTTACTTGTGGACCAACAAGAAATAATATTAAATTTTCAACATAATTTATATACACTTTCACACATAAATCAAGGAGATTTAACTATGACTAAATCAGATTGTTATATGGACTTGATCAATATAGATTAAAAAACCAATGATTTCTTGTCGCGTCTTCGATATTAACAGTAACGTCTCATAGTTGTTGTGCCAGAATAAGGTTAAGAGACAAAATAAAATTTTACTTAGCTGAAAATTTTAAATATTTTTATTTAATATGAAAGCATGTATATATCCTGGTTACTTGTATTGATAGTTTTATTACGAGAAAAGGAATCAGTTCAACCTAATTTCTTTCATTGCTATAACCTAAATTTGATTCTCTTGAATTCAATAGGACACCACATGACATTAAATTAAGCTATAGTTTTAATTAGTAATTACCTTTATATGTGAATAAAATCTGAGTCATTTTAAAAAGATTCAACAATAATTAAAAATTGTATCTTGCAAAATTATAGAGAAACATAAAAATCACGAGTCCATAAATTCTTTAATTAGTTTTTATTTATTTTCTTATTTTGATTTATTTAATTTTAGAGATACTGATGATCCAAACATAACATTCCAGCTTCCATAAATTCATAAAATCACTGATGATCCAAACATAACATTCCAGCTCATAGGTTTTGAGTTATTAACTACTTGACCAATTAATCTCTGTTATCAAATATACGCTTATCAAGAAAAAAAATCACGGGTTCCATTAATTTCTTTTTAGTCATTAAACATACACTTATTAATATATAGATAAAATCAACTGTCATATGAAAATATTCTAATTCTGAACTAATTTTAACTTAGCTTTAGTCTTCAAATAATTCCACTCAATATAATTATTATTGTAAGAAAAAAGGGTTTTCATGTTGTACACACAAAATTTCATGTATTAAAAAATATACTAAAAATAATGTCATAATCACATTAATGAATTTGATTAAAACAAAGATGAAAACTTTCGTGAGGTACTCTTCATGGGAATGAATCCTCTATCAAATTTGGATCTTGTTTTAAATAAAAAAATATTCACATAAATTTGAAAGCTTTAACCATGTAAAATCTTAACTTAATTTAGTAAATATAAAAAGTATTTACATAAATTTAAAAGGTTTTGTATATATGATATATAAATTTGACTTGATTTAATGAACACGGAAGAGTATAACACAAGCTCAAAAAATTTAACCGTGTGATGTATAAATTTGACTTGATTTCATTAAAACAAAGAATATTCATCTAACTTTAAAAGCTTTAATAATGTGACATCTTAACTTGATTTATTTTGATGAAGGAAAGGATTTTGATCCCTTGTTTGATATATTTGAATTTCTTGATAGAACTTCAAATATTTTTGCTTGGTTTTTATTCTTTACTTTTTCTTTTCTTCTATCTCCATTGTTTTTGTGCTTTCTTGTCTTCTATACTTATATTTAAATTGATGGCTTTATTATCTATTTATAAATAGATCATGCGCAATTTATCTTAAATATCCTTCATCTAAAGGGTATTTTAAGAAAATTAATATGAAAATTACTTAAAATACCTTTAATTAGAAGGATGTTAAAGTAAAAATCATTAAATGTATTTTGACTGAGTTTTTTAATTAATTTGAATTCAAACCTAATAGTATATTTTTGTATAGAGAATTTTGCTTCATGTGCTAGGCTTACTGAAATCTTAGTGTCAACACATATATTATAAATAATTTCATTATTTGTATAGTATTATTTATTTTGAAACAATTAGCCTTATCACTTTTACTATTATGATACAATCTTAAATTCAATTAACTAAGAAATTCATATATAAATAAATAAACTCATACAAATATAAATTTAGTAATTAAATTATTTAAAGGTCATTACAAATAGAATCTTATATAAAGAAAATATTTCATAAATGTTATAATTAATAATAAAATTATACCCAAAATTATAATATAACTTATCTTTAATTTCAATTACATGTATTCCAAATATTTTTTAATGAAGTTGTAAAAACTTCAATCTGGATTAGGTTTTCCATGAATGTGTCTTAGGTTGATAGGTCTGCTCTATTGTTCTTATACATAATATGAAATTATAGACATCATATGGAGTAATATAGGTTCCATATTGAGGGAGGCGTTACACCATTGATGGAAATTTAGACACCCTTAAATATAGGAAGATGGGCACCACATTAACAATTCATGTGCTAATCTTATTACTTTTCATGAAGAATTAGCACTAGTGATGATTGTAAGACATTGTATTAATAAGTGATGCATTCATAAATTGTATTAGGTGTTTGGGTAATGACTGTACCAATAAAAGTGGTTGCATGGCATATAAGCTGGGTATTTTCTCTTTTTATCCCTTTCCCCCCTTCTCCCTTGGTATGCTATTTGATAAACTAAATTAGAATTAAATTAGACAATTACAGGAGAATAATAAGGGAATGAACTAAATGAGAAGAACAAATATTGGTTAGTTCGTGTAATACACATGCCAGCAAGTGAATCAGGCTCACCATCTTTAAATAGTGAGTGTGGCTTGTATCTACCTCCACTAATTACCTTTCTTAATGTCAT